GTCCGAGCCTGCTTCGAGGCAGAAAATCTTGTTTCTTCACTCAAGGTGACCCCTACAGTTTTGTTTGTTTTGATCCAGACAACTTGTTGTCAGGAGCTAATGTTAGCGCTGACCGTCAACCGGCTGTAAACCTACAGCAAGCCAGGAGTGACACACAACACAGAAACGCACATCTTCATCGCACACAACACTCGTGGGGAAAAATCGATCTCATGACTTATGAATCAATCTTCCCCAATTTGAATGAAAATCGATCCAGATCGATTAAAWCYATTTTTTTAACCCAGCCCTAGTTCAAACCTGTCAGGACCAAGACAGAGGCCGGTCCATCCTGACGGCTCAGAATCACAACCATGACCCGACTCTTCTCGCACCTACCTCTTATCTTGGTCCCAGAGGAATCGGTTCTCTGTACTCCACCAGCCAGAACCATGGCCACGGCCAGTTTAATCACATACATGCCAAAAACCTGCGGGCACAGACTCAACAGAACTTGGTTCCTKCCTGCACCAACAAAGGAGAAAATAAGGTTTTAATAATAAAAAAAAACTGAAGTACAAAGATCCAGTAGTGTTTTAAATCCACACCAGCTAAAGGATCAGACTTGTGGTTTTCCCAGAACTCTTCAAACTCTTTCTGGACATCTTTGACCAGGAGAGAAGCTGCAGCCTGCTGGTTGTTTACTTCAGTGTAGTTGGCTTTAAGCACAAGCTCCACATCGCAGCGAACACRGTCAGAAAAGGGCTTCCAGCGGAGACACATGACGCCGTACACCGTCACTTCATCTCCTGGAAAATTAGACATGTCTTCTGAGCTGAAACASCAGACACTGCTTCAACTCAACTAAACACTGCAGATCTGAAGTTAGACACGTCTAACAGCTGAGTGAGGGACTCACCGGACTTACAACTGTCAACCAGGTCATCCTCCAGAACCACCACTAAAGACCGAGGAATACTGCCCACTGACAGCCTCTGCACCTGAGAGAGGGAAATCKATGAGTGTGACCACAACCAAGGTTAGAATAGGTTTAGATTTTTTATTATAGGTTAGTTTTATTTAGTTGTGACTTTTTTCTTTTAATTCACTTAGTTTTAATTAGTTTTTAGTGTGGATTTGCTAGTTTTTATTAGTTATTATTGTATTTTTAATGCTTAGTTTTAGTTTAGTTTAGTTTTTATTAGTTATTAC